GGGTGGCTCAGTCGGTTAAGCGTCTGCCTGCAGCAGGGGTCATGATGGGATCGAGCCCCACATGGGGCTCCCTGCTCAGTGGGGATCCTGCTTCTCCCTCTCCCTCTGCTGCTCCCCCTGCTTGTGCTCTCTCTCTCTCTCTTTCTGTCAAATAAATAAAATCTTTAAAAAATAAATGCAGTCACTCATTTTGGATGATTTCCCTGCCCTCCTCATACCCACCAATTCTATAACAAATAGCTGCTCTGAATTTTCTCTCAATTCCCTTGTCTGTCAGTAGTCCTGCAAGTGGACAGCATACACCCCATAACTGCAAGCAAAACCTCCCTGCAAACTCCAGAGAGCCTTTCAAGGAAACCAGAACAGAAGACCCAAAGTACTTTCCTACATGCTTTGCTGTGCCCCCAAGGCTCCTGGATGCTGTCCCCACCCGGCCCCCTAGACCTCTCCCCATCCCACCCTTCTGAATTTTACTGGGATCTAAATCTGATTTCCACTGTGGAATGAAAAGGAAGATAAAGAGCCATTTACAAATGTCTTCTTAATTCCCACATGCCTTTTGGAAGAATGTCTGAGTAGATCAACATTGTTTTTAATAATTCCTTTATATCAACAAAGGCAAATAATCACTACTTTAAGGAAAGATCATGGATTTCAGAATCAAATCCATGGGTTTTGTTTACAGTTCACTCTCTTGACAAGGTGAGGGATCTTGGGAAAATCACTTGACCTTTCTGATTCAATTTTGTCATCAGTAAAACAGGGTTAACAAAGTATAGTTGCATGAGACAGTACCAGTAAAGCAACATATCATGCTCTTAATAAATACCAGTTCTCCTTTGTATTTTCTTTTCCCCTAACTTCACCCACACTCATCTTTCTCTAAGGAAAATAACTAGGAAGGGAATCACTAACCATTCTACAACTATTAAAAATAAGATCCTTCCAGTGGGAGGTACTTGCTAACTTGACTGTCTTGCAGTGCTTGACATAGTCCTCAGGGGCCTATTTACACCTGCAGATAAAACTGCTCACCAAACTGCTTATGTTCATCTGTATTCAGATTATTTGGAGTTTAAAAGTTAAGTGTGTCTTTTCTTACTTATTACACAAAAACACACATATGAGAGCTTCCCAGAAGACTAAAAAAGAGGCAGACTTTATTAATTTGTCTGGTCAAGTTCAGTCCACATGGTTCTTCCAGGCTTAAACCTCTCAGGTTCACATTGGTTATATTTCAACTCTTCCCCAGGGCTTCCCCTAGACCTCAAGGTCCCCAAACTCCTAAAGTTCCTTGAAGCCAACTGGATTTCTCAGAGAAATTTTTGTTCCAATAAGGTGAAGAGTGAGGAAGTGCAACCCAAAGAAACAGCTTTATCCTGAGGTAGGTTCTAGTCTTGGAGAACAAGACATCTGACTCTTGCCCTTCATAAAACATCCCTAGCAGTGCTTGGGGGAAGCTGGGCCTCCAGGTGGGAGTCTGTCCCAGAGCCTTCTCCATACCTCATCTCAAGTTCAAGGCTGAATCTAAGATAACCCTAGACATTATGTCTGGGTAGAGGCATTAAGAAAAGGAAAAAAAAAAACACTACCAAGCCTCTGTTCTCCCTTCCTCCATAAATCTTTCTTGGTTTATTAAAAGAGTTGTTCAAGAAATCCTTTAGCTCCAGTCAGAACTTGTAGATCAAGGCCAGTAAAGAGAGTTTGGGAAGCACTCTTTCGGAGTTAGGCTGAGGCAAGGAAGGAGAAGAGGCACCAGAGTTTAGCTTCCTGGAGGGAACTGGCTGCCGGAGCCCAGCAGCCAAGAATCAGAACATGGATTTGGGTGACTGACATTCTAAACTGCACTGCCAATAAGGCTGGCCAGAGTTTAGGGTGACATAATGGGCTATCTCATTTTCTGCTGCATGATGTCTACTTTCAGAGATCCTTATGGGCACAGAGCTTACTGGTGGTTATTGCTGGAATGAAATCAGACTCTAAGAGTGCTAAGGGGACTAGATAACAAAGTATATGTAGTGTCTCAAGAATGTTCGCATTGTGTATTATGTACCCCTAACTATGCAGACATAACTTCCTGTGGGTAATAGACAATAACATATTGAATGTGTATAATGTATTCCATTAATGCACTTAATTTGAAGAATTACACAAATTTCACAGAAATCAAAACAATAATGTTGAGCACATTGCAGAAGAGTCAATAAATACTTGTTATAGGACATACTTCCCACCATACAGATTTGACTCTTTTGTTGATGTAGACAAATACTTTATTCTTTCTTTTTCTGTTTCTCTTTCTCTCTTACATTGCTACTGTATATCATCAGTAAAATTGCCCCATTTGGGAGAAAGGGAAAAAAAAAATACCTAAGGCAGAAACCAAGAATTTGGACAGTGTCCCAGAGCTAGTTAACTTTAAGGGAACAATCTGGTTATAACCTCAAGTCTGCTGCTCTTATACCACACTGTGATCATCTTGCAGGTAGGCAGAAGGATCAATGTTATCTTATTTCTACTTTTCTATATGAGTACCGACATTTATACACAATTTTCATGTAACCACCAGTGTGCATAGAAGGAAAATGTCATACCCACCAAGGACCCATAGGGACAGCTTTTGAAATAAACAGAGGCACATTTCTTAATACAACACAACTGAATTAATGTAAAGTTGGAAACCCTGACCCATCTCTACATGCCTTGGCCTCAGTTTTGTGAACCACTCCCCATCCCTATCCTAACTTGCAGTTTGCTCCCTCAAAGCCACCCCAGGACCTGACACTCTCTACTCCACCTGTGGGTTCCTCTCAGTGGGCCTGCCCTGGGCAATCAGAATCCAATCCAAGAGGAAACTAACCTTCAGGATTGGGGTCAGCCTAACTGTTCAGACTGATGGCTGACAATGCCCCCTTTTCCTTTGTCAGCCCTTTGGATGACTTGTCTAGCCAAGAAACCCCCAGGAATGACCCTCCGCGCTCCTTGGAGGCTACCCCATGAATAGATGGAATTCTCAGTGCCAGTAGCCGCCTCTGGGTGCCGAAGATGTTGCCAACAGGGACATCTCACAGCCACCTGGGAATACCAGGGTATGGGGGAGGGAGAGTGCTAGGGCTGGGAAAGGGCGGGAGGCCGCGAAGGAGATCCGGAGAGAGGTTTCTCTTACCGGAAAATTGACTGGAATTTTGTCATCCCGGGATCTGACGCCCGGAAGTGCCCTGAGAGGTGTAGGGTGTTGGGGTAGATTCGCTGAGCGCCTCCTTCCGTACTTTTTTTTTTTTTTTTTTTGAGGCTCAGTCTTTAGCAGTCCCTCCGGGGCTAGACAGACGTTCCACAGGTTCTGGCTCTCTGGAACCTGGCCGATCCCAGACTTGAGGGTGTTAGATCTCTGTTTATGCTCAGGATGGACCTGCCTCTGTTCTACAGCATAGCCCGCGCCGGGTGAGTCCCAGTGCGGTGGGTAAAACGTAGGAGAGAGAAATGCAAAGGGGTCTCCTTCTACCACCTGACCCTCTTAATTCACCCCAAGAGTCTGAGGGACGCCGTGGCGGCGGGGGTCGGTGTATGTGTTCTCGGGACCCCCACGCCCTCTTAATTCGCAGCCTCCCTGTCCCCGCTGCGCGCGACCCGAGGTGAGGCGGGCGCGCTGGCTCGCCCCGCGCACGCGCCGCCCCTGTCCCAGGCTGAGCGCGCTCTCGCCGCGAGCCCCCAGCGCCGAGCCCCGGGGCCGCGGAGCCCCGGGAACGCCTAGCCGGTCGCTGCCTGGAAGGACTCCTTAGCGCGCCGCCGCGGTTTTGCTAGGCGAAAAAGATTAGAAATCGTTTGTGTTTCTCTTTCACCTCCTTTTTTGTGCTCATAGTTTCTTTTTATCTGCAGAGCAATTGATTCAGTCTTGCACTCTGCCTTCCTCGTGTTTTCTTTTCCTAAGTACAGATTTTGGGGTGGGGGGGTAACCATTTCCTCAATTGATATACCATAGGGTGTAGCTGGCCCAATAAAAAAGCAATCACTGCACTCAGTGGAGTCAGCTGGTTATCAAGGGAGAAAGAGGAAAAGCCCAAGCCTTGATTTTCCTTCTTGTTACAGCGGAGCTGGATGGAACTCAGAGCTCATGACAAGCCTCTGCGAATTCGCAGGGAAATTCCATTTCGAAAGCCTAAGAAAGTGCTACAAGAAAAGGCACAGGTCCTTCAAAAACGAAGGGAAAGGAAAAAGGGCATGACTGCCAACAGACTAATAATTACAGACCGCTGGAAATCACTTCCCTTTAGTCCTTTACTTTTAGGACTAATTGCATGTATTCTTGCTGTAACACTAACATTTTTTGTTCTTTTTAGAAGTGAAAATTAGCTTTATTTACTCCTGTTTATAAAAACAAGCCATGCTCATTATTTTGGAAAACAGACAGTAACCCTTAAATTGTAATCCTTAACTAATGATGAGGTGTGTGTATATATATATATATACATATATTTATTAAATATGTATATTAAAAATATATGGTTTTTCGCATGGCTTTTATTCATCAGAGAAACAAAAGGGTCTATAGTATCTGCAATGAATGAGACACCATACTGTGGTGTGGCTTGAAACTTTACAAATATCTGAAAGCTATTTGTTAAAATTTCATCAATGATGACTCCATATGGTAAACTAGTTTCAAGTTGGTCAAATTGTAGCTTATTATCTCTGATTAGAAATTATCAGAAAATACTGGTGATGAAATATATACATTAGAAATTTTTGATTCTGACTGTTTTAGACTAATGGATGGGCATCCAAAAACAGTGGATATAATGAATAATATTGAAATATCCATTTGCTTTTTCATAACTTCAGGAAAGATAAATGTGTGATACATACATGGGTTTATGTGCTTTTAATAGACAATAGGAGAAGCAATGACTTATAATACTAAAGACATCAATGAGATTAAATTACATGAATTAAGGTAGTAGCAGAATAATAAATGGATGATAAATAGAGCAACTCCTACTTACCAATAGGTGTAAGTCCGTGCTTTAGAGAATCTTGTAAATTTCCAGTATCCGAATTAGAAGACATTCTTAGTAAAATTATAGGTGGTCCTTTGGCTTAAAGCAGAAATCATTGAGCATAAGAAAAAGTACAGCTTGTCAAATTTTGTAGTCCTCGGTAGGACACATCAGACTACAGTAACCCTTAGTGAAAGTTTAAAAAATTGCAAAAAAAAAAAAAAAAATCCAAGAATTCAGAAAGTTACAAGTAAGTCTTTCCCTGGACTCTGTACTTTTTCCAGCATTAGTGGCCTGCTGTAAACCATGTATCCAGTTACATGATGGTTTCTAATCAGAAGAATGGAAACTTTTGATAGGCTTAGACGGATCACATGACTCTATGCAAGTTGATAAGAGGACCCTGTTATAAAGTGACAGCAAAAGAGATAAGAACTCCTGGCAGATAATGGCAAAGAAATGATTAACTCAGAAGTGGAGAGGTGCTATGCAGCACAGAGACTGGAAAGTTGTAAAACTGAGGGGTCAGAAGATCATACTTAGTGGATAAAACTCCAAACCAACTTAAATCTACTAACTAAACTTAGGCTTGTGACATACCCCCTTGATGTCATCACCTCTTGGCATGGAGGAGGACAGAGGTAGCTCTTCTGACCTCTGTAAACATATTTTAGATGATAACATTAGCACACATTAATTCTTTAAATGATGACTAGAGATATGATTGACATTTTAAAATACTACAGGTAGCATTTCCAGGCTTATGGTCATTTATTTATTCATGTGTTGTCAACCAACTTTTTAATCATGCCTATTCATTAGCTGCAAAGTTAATCTTAGCTTATTTGTTCATTAGTCAGTTGATTGAAAGGGCAGCCTATCTCTTTACCCCCAATAAAAGTAAAGCTTATACTTTGAGGTTAGTGCTGGCAAAATGATGAATGTATAAAACGTCTTCCATAATTTTAAGTTATTATTCTTTGCTTGAATCCATGGGAAAAATCTGGATCACTCTTCACCATGAAAGAACTATTACTAAAATGACCAACAGTAGTTTTAGGTTCTTGTTAAATATCCCTATTGTTCTTCAAAGTAATAAACTATGGATTCTTATAATAATGCATATCTTTTCCCATGTTGTGAAAGAGTTACTTGTCTGTTTTTATTTCTGTAATGGAGCAAACTTCTTTTCCCCCTGAGATTCTATTTAGAAAACTCGAAATGTTTATGTACAGCATTTTTCCCATCAAAATTATATTTTCTTGGATTAGATATCACTGCATATAATAGAAAAGTCAGAATAAAGTGGTTTAAATAAAACCTTTATTTTTCTCTTAGAAGTTCAGATGTAGACAATCCAGGGATGGTACAATAGCTCTACAAAGTTGTTCAGAACCAGGTTCCTTCCATCTTACTATCCTTTATCTCTTGTCCTCATGTTTCAGAATGGCTGCTAGAATTCCAGCCATCATTCTATACCAGGAAGAAGAATGGAGGAAAGGCAGAGAAAACATACTTTTCTTTTTTTTTGAAAACATACTTCTTTTTAAGGACATTTCCTGAAAGTACCACATAAACACTTTGCTTACATCTCACTATGCAGAAATTAGATACATACTTATCCTTAGCTGTAAGGGAGGCTGGGAAGTGAAGTATTTTAGATAGGCAAGTATTTCAAAGGATTTGGTGGCTCAGTTGGTTAAGCATCTGCCTTCAGCTCAGGTCATGATCCCAGGGTCCTGGGATCAATCCTGCATTGGGCTCCCTGCTCAGCAGGGAGCCTGCTTCTCCCTCTCCCTCTGCCTGCCACTCCCCCTGCTTATGCTCTCTCTTTCTCTGTCAAATAAATAAATAAAATCTTTATTTATTTTTTTAAGATTCTACTTATTTGACAGAGAGAGAGTGAGCAGGGGGAGGAGCAGAAGGAGAGGGAGAGAATCTCAAGCAGACCCCATTCTAAGTGCAGAGCCTGATTCCTACTCGGTGGCTCAATCACAGGACCCTGAGATCATGACCTGAATGGAAACCAAGAGTCCGCCACTTAACAGATTGAGCTACCCTGGCACCCTTGCTGTTATTTCTTTAAATAATCAAACAATAGGGGCACCTGACTGGCTTAATCAGTAGAGCATGTGACTCTTGATATTGTTGGGTGTAGAGCTTACTTTTAAAAAAATAGTAAAATAAAATAAAAAATACTTTATAAAAAATAATGAATAATCAAACAATATGCCACAATATTAGAAATGTACTAATGTAGGTGTTAAAGGACATATGACTCTGCAAAGCAGCTATTCTCTTAAAAACTATTAGGGCCCCAAAATACTTTTGCTTCTGTGAATTATATCTATGAGTATTTATTGTATTCAGATTAAAATTGAGAAAGTAAAAATTATTATTTATTTATAAATATACTAATTTGTTTTTATTAAAATATGTTAATATGCATAATGCATTTTAAATTAAAACAACTATTTTCTAAAACAAAATAATTCATAAAAAGCAGCATTTTCAGTAGTCTTTAATCTCTACCTTTTTTTAAAAAAAGATTTTATTTATTTATTTGACAGAGAGAAAGAGAGCACAAGTAGGGGGTAGTGGCAAAGGGAGAGGGAGAAGCAGACTCTCCACTGAGCAGGGAGCCCAATACGGGGCTCAATCCCAGGATGCTGGGATAGTGACCTGAGCCGAATGCAGACGCTTAACCAACTGAGCCACCCAAGCGCCCCTTACGCCTGCCTTAATGGAAAACTAGATTCTCATATCTGCTTCTGCATTGTCTGTAGCAGTATATTGTTTTGGTTGAAGTGTATATAAGAAAATATGGTCTTCAAGATATGAAGTTAGGAAAAGGAGCAATATTTTAATAACTTTTTCAAATAATTTTTATGGATTTTTTTTTCTTTGATGCTACACCAAAACTCCACAAGTAATATCTTCTTAAAAACTAGTTGAGGGACTCCTGGGTGGCTCAGTCGATTAAGTGTCTACCTTCTGCTCAGGTCTGGATCCCAGACTCCTGGGATCCCGTCCCGCATCGGGCTCCCTGCTCCGCGGGGAGCCTGCCTCTCCCTCTGCCTGCTGCTCCCCCTGCTTGTGCTCGTGCTGCTCTCTCTTTCTCTCTCTCTGGCAAATAAATAAATAAAATCTTCAAAAAAAAATTAGTTGAAATGTGGAATCTGAAACCACATCTGTGAACTTTGTATACCCTGTTACACTAAAATTCTTGGCTTATTTTATATTTCAAATACCACTTTTACCTATACATGATTTCGTTGCATCTCACATTGGTAATTTGGAAAATATAGTTTCGTCAAAGTTGGCAAATTTTCCAAATGTTGACACATTTTGTTATATAGTATCAAAAATTCTATTTATGAATATTACTGCTGATCTCATCTGAAGTCTTTAAATACTAGGAAGCTGTCAAACTCACAGTGGAATATACAAATTTTCTTAAATCCAAATTTTCACTTGTAAGCCTGAAGTTATCAATGGAAAAAAGTACCATCAGTTTTTTTCCATGAAGTAATAGGTTCACTTCATATTTGAGAATTTTCTCCAAAATACCCATGTCTAAATAACCAGTTTGTCTGTCCTTCTTAAAATGTAAAAATAATATTCCATTTTTTAAAAAGCAGCTAGGGATGCCTGGGTGGCTCAGTTGGTTAAGCGTCTGCCTTCGGCTCAGGTCATGATCCCAGGGTCCTGGGATGGAGCCCCGCATCAGGCTCCTTGCTCAGCAGGGCAGTCTGCTTCACCCTCTCCTCTGCTGCTCCCCCTGCTTGTGCTCTCTCTCTGTCAGATAAAGACATAAAATCTTGGGACACCTGGGTGGCTCAGGCGGTTAAGCGTCTGCCTTCGGCTCAGGTCACGATCCCAGGGTCCTGGGATCGAGTCCTGCATTGGGCCCTCTGCTCCGCGGGGAGCCTGCTTCTCCCTCTGCCTCTGTCTCTCATGAATAAATAAATAAAATCTCTATAAAAAAAAAGAAAATCTTAAAAAATAAAAATAAAAAAATTTAAAAAGTAACTAGATCAGCTCCCCACTTGAACAATTACATCAGTGCTTTCCCTAGAATCAGCCAACGTGTTTTGACTTAAGTCTTTAATGATACTTGAAGAACTTAAAGAACTATGGACAGTACAGTAAGGGGGAAATTTAAGTCTTATGGCTCAGCTTGATTAGAGATGTGATTTGCTTTATGAAGTAGCTGTGTTCTTGACGAGTTACATGTTAATTACTTTTTACAACCCACTTCATATATTCAACACAGTAGTTGTTCTAGGGTCAGAATACAACATTTGGAATTTTTTATAAAACAAAATAGTCTCTTAGTTTCATCTGTTTTAAAAACATACTTTCATATTTATATTTCTGTGAACTTGGGGGTATGGAAGAAATCTGAATTGAATTAAAATAGATAATTTCTTCTTTTGTCAAATACTACGAGCCATTTCCGCCCCAGGATGTTGAAAAGGAGGCATGCTGAGATTTCAACTGTGAATAGAAACTTTTCCTGGTCTCATAGATCTCCATATCCTAACTTGGGGCTGCCTGTCCCCAGTGTATTGTGAGGGATTTGCAGAACCTGGGGGGATGGGATACTTATTGCAGGAACCTATGATTTTACCTGTTCTTATGGCTTTTCATCTCTTTGAAACAGATGTCAAGATTATTTAAAAATATACCTGTCTGGGCGCCCGGGTGGCTCAGTCGTTAAGCGTCTGCCTTTGGCTCGGGTCGTGATCCCGGGGTCCTGGGATCGAGCCCCGCATCAGGCTCCCTGCTCAGCGGGAAGACTGCTTCTCCCTCTCCCACTCCCCCTGCTTGTGTTCCCTCTCTTGCCTTGTCTCTCTCTGTCAAGTAAATAAATAAAATCTTTAAAAATATATATAGCTGTCTATCCCTTGGGGATACATTGTCAGTTAGTTAGAAGATGGGTTTCTTGATAAACAGTTTTATTCACTGTATTTATGGCCGTAAAGTTAGGAAACTCAAGGATGTTTCCCCAAGTCTTTGAAACTCTTTGGATAGAAGGAGTTGGCGTTTGTGAGGGGCAGTGCCCAAGTAATTGTACCTCTGGCCCAGGACCTAAGAAGAAAAGATAAATGAATAGAAAGGTGCCTCTATATAAATAAAAGGACTAGGTATGTTCCCTTAATGATCACATTAAAATCTAATTAGATCAGTTGTTTAAATCAGAGTGTTAATGAGGCTAAAGTCCACATTTTGATTCCTATGGAAGAAAAAGTTTCAGAAAGGGGAAAGCTATTTGCAAGATCATATGGACACCTGTTATCTCCAGCTAACACTGA